CTAATTAATCAAGCAAAATTGAAATGTGTCACCTTCCAAGCGTTTACTATGATTGACTTTATCCTAATAACGTATCTCTCAGCCACAGTGTCTTCCATTTATAAAACTTAAATTGGTTGCTTTTGACCAGAATTGCTTCTAGACCGACAGCAACTAAAATGTTCAAAGGGCTTCATATTGCTGTTTAGTCTAATTGTTCTTATTAAGGATCACATAATGACAGGAGAGTTACAAATTGAAGTTGGCAGTGCTGCAACCTGTGGTAATGTTATGTGAATGAAGCAGGGCAACTGTACAAGGAAAGTCTTGTTTGGAAGCATCCTTCTCTGTTCCAGGATAACTTCTTGCCAATATCCAGATTTGGCCCAAGACATTTTGCTGCCAGAGTCTGAGCAGCAAATGGCATCCTCTCCACTGCCAAAGTTGAGATGCATATTACCTGCGCCTACTCATGTTACTTTGGCACCTAAGATAGAAAAAACTCACAAGCAACTCTCTGATTTCCTAGCAATAAAAATATAATCATAATAAATTAGATGACTAACAATATGACATGGCTTTCATGGAAGACAGTATCTGCTATCAGAGATGACATTCTCACTCTGCCTAAGGGTAGGCCTGGTCCTGCCAATATCATAATCAGGTAATTTAGTTCCATAGAGGTGCCCTCACTCTCTGATCTCTGTCTTCTCATACCATCCCAAGCTCTGTATTTTTGAAAAGCATTGGTTGTCCAGCCAATTTTTTTTAATGGTTGGCCAAGCCTTTCTGGAATCCAGGCTATTCTGACAGCCTATATTTAAACTTTGCCACTTCAGCAGGGCAGAGGAGATGACTGGGCCCCCAAGACTGGGATGCAACTGAGCTTATGCCCTGAGAAAAGGGAAGGGAGGTGGAGGAGGTCATTGCAGGTTGCTCCTGACCTAATCAAATGTCTTGTTACTTAATCTATAACCTTCTCCCCAGGCTTTTTGTTGACAATGAATAGAGATTGGAAGCATGTTTTTTTTTTTGTATTTCGTATCCAGCCTTGATTGTGGGATTCTAGGAGTTACAATCAAAAACATTTTTCAAGGTGTAGAACAGAATTCCCAGTATATATGGAACAGGAAGAAAGGAATAACCACAGCATTATTATTCTGCTTCATTCTCAATAAATAACAAGTCTCTTGTACTTTATTACAGATAAAACCAGCAAGATGAGAGAACTTTCTCTTAATAATATACAAGATGGCAGCCCATAAGATCTTATATAAGGTGAAAGAAAACGAGATCACCTATTTTGAAGAGAAGCTCAGACAGTGTTCTGAAAACAACCCATCTTAGACATATTTGATAATGCAGAATCTGGCAATCCATAGTCACTGGGTTTACCAAAGTTACCAAAGTCTCATCTGACATTGTGAAACAGATCCAGTCTCACAAAATGTTTATGTGCTACTCTGTTAAGGCTAAGGCCAAGGACTCCAGTTTCAAGTGACGGAATTTAGAGGCAGCCTCATATAAACCATACAATATCAAAACATGTCCCTGCCATCCGTTTGAAGTAGCAAAAGGTGGTTTGGCTTTGTTCTCGAAGGGCAAATACAAGAAAGTGGAGGATATATCCATTCCTATTTTGATTTGGAGTTCCACAGAGAGGAAGCAATGAAGTGGCTAATATGTGAAAATACACAAGTTAACTCACTCATCTTCTAATAAGTAACTGGTAGATACTTCAGATGATGGGTGAGGAAGTGGTAGCTGTACTCACAAGAGTTTTTCCTTCGCACAGCATACTCAGAAAGCAAGCCAACAGTATCTTGAAATCTCTATTTAAAAAAAGGAAAAAAAGAAATGTTGTTATTCAAGTGTTCAGTGCATCAAGGGACCCCAAAAGGTTGCTTTTGCTTACAAAAGTCCTTTGCCTATGAAGTTTGAAGATAACCTCCTTGGGAAACATCTTGAAAAGTTGAGCTCCAACCTAAGGTGACAGAGTTTTTTGATGTTCAGTTGTGACAAGAAATAATATCTAGACCCAAAATTCATTTGCTTGGTGGACAATTTTAGGAGGAGCATCATCTGGAGAACATTGCAGACATTGTCGCTGAGATGTATGATGACATCAGAAGGCAGGTAAATGTGCAAGTAGTAGCCTCTGTCTTTTCACTTTCCAAGATGTGGTAGAGCATATTACATGCATAGAGAACAGAAGGTATAGTATTTCCTACCTGGAAATAATATTAGGTAGTGTACCATACAGAGGAGTAGTAGCACTGTAGTCATAGGTCGCATTTAACTAAATCAGTTTTTATTACTCATCCTTGTATCACTACTTTAGTTTTTATTTGTGTTTTTGTTAATCCATTGTTGTTAACTGCTGTCACGTCAACTTATGGTGACCCTATGAATTAGAGATTTTTATCCAAATCACCATGTTATCAACAGTCCTGCTCAGGTTTTGCAGATTAAAAATCCTGAGTATAACATCTGGATTATAGCCTTCCTTGCCTCCTACTGCCTTCTACTCTACTAAACATTATTGCTTTTTCTAGTGAGTCATGTCTTCTCATGATATGGCCAAATTAGAACAATCTCAATTTAATCATTTTACTACATACCTAAGCAGAACAAGACTGTAGGCTGTTTACTCTGGAGTAATCCTATATCCTACCCTTACCTATAGATACTTGAAATTAAATTCCATTGGGCTCCTTATGACATACTTTTAGGAGGTGCATATAACATTGCAGTCTCAAATGCAGATTATACACCCATATTAGAAACACAAAAGTAGTCGGGAGTGTGAAGTTTTGTTGTCCGTTCAGCTTTTCTTTTTTTTATTTTGAACCTGCATTCACATAAGCTAAATTAGCTATGGTAGTGGTAAACCTTGCCATTTTTAAATATGCATACAAGGCATATGATTATTCAGTAATATATTTCACTACTATTCAGTAGTATATCAGGAGTATTCAGTAGTACATGCATGGTATAACCCTGAGAGCTCCAGTATGGCTTCATGGCAATTGTCCACCCTTGCCTTGCAGTAGGCATCCATTTCCAGTGCCACCAATGAGTGAGCTTTATAATTTGTGCTGCTGTTTCTAAAATATTTTAAAGTTATTGAATTTCTTTCATGGTTCATGAAAGACTATCATTTTTGTAATAGGTGAAAACCTTTTGCTTTGTCATCGGTCCTGACCAGTCTAATTGTGAAGAATGATGGAACATGCACTCTATCTATACCTAGAGAGCTACCTATTTCCAATATCTATAGTGAAGAATAGATCAATCAGTGAATCTCCCGAAAGTCCATCGTACACAATTAATAATGATCTAGAAAAGCTGCCATCATTTGCCTCTAGCTACCCTATGCTTTGTTCCAGTATCCTACAAACCCAGTTACAAGCAGCACTTACTACTCTGGCTTCGAGTGTAATTAACAGTTTGGTGAAACCTACACAATTATCTTATCATTCAAATTCTCTCTGAAAAAATGGGGGTGGGGGGGAACAACAGCATAAATATTATGGTAACTACAATGGCAGTTAGTTTTAATATACCATTTTTCTCAGATTCTCTTCATTTCAGTACAGCTTAATTTCCTATCTCTCTATGAGTTCGCCTTTACAATTAGTTCTCCCCCCTTATCTCACCCGGAGTTTTTAAATCATTTTATGTACATGCAGCCCGCCCTTTGTTTGTCTGCCATTATGCTTAGTTCCTATGTTTTGTGTATATTGTTTTATATGCTTTGATGTTTTCTATTTTACTGTTATGTTGTTTATTTGATTGCAATTTGTATTGTTGTATTGTAATTTTGTTCGGGCTTGGCCCCATGTAAGCCGCTCCGAGTCCCCTTTGGGGAGATGGTGGCGGGGTACAAATAAAGTTTATTATTATTATATCCATGGCCTCATTCACATATGTTGCTCACTCTGTGGTTCATACTTGCAGTTATGGATTTATTCTTCATCAACATGGCATTCCCCCCTCATATTCTCTGTATAAAGTGCTTAAAACTAGCTTAGGGAAAGTGCTGATTGGATGTAAACTTCTTCCTTTCTCTACCCAGCGCGTAAGACTAATAAAAGAAAAATACATATTAAGACAAGTAGCAGGGACAACAGGTTTCCCATCTTCTTTCTGGATGGACATTTACAGAATTAAGACTTTTAAAACAAATCATTTAACTTTCTTCTCCTGCTCTGTCCCAGGAGATGATTTCAAAAGCAACGTATCTTTTTTTACAGCAGAGATTTTATACTCTGGGTATTGAAGGATGTTTCCAAGCTCAGGATTGGCATAAGGAAAACATGCGCTTGGAATGAAGTACTTCTATACCTGCTTAGCTTGTGCAGGCAGGGAGTTGTACTCTGTTTGACTGAGTTTCAAAATCAAAGTAGAAGGTGATTACGATGAAAGAGAGTTGTATTAGACTGAGGAGAACCATGTCAACTTAGGTTGTGTTACAGGGAGATCCTGATGGGTTGTGCAAAAATAGCTCAAGACGTTTTGCTGTTACAGGTGGTAACATCTGATGGAGACTTTAGACCTCTTCTTCAGCATGGTGGTAAACATGATAAATAAAAACAAGATAAATAGCCGATTGCCCACTGCTGGGCACCAGGAAAAGTCCAAAACACATTGATGCCTGAGGCGGAGCAGCAAATGGTGCCTCATTCTTAAAGTGCATGGTTCCTGAGGCCTGTTAACTTATTTTGGCACTTGAAGCAGAAAATCAAACAATCCTGGCAGTAAATATACAAAAATAAATTAAATAACATTTTGCTTGCTGTATCATGACACCCCAAATCTGTAGTCCAAAGCATCTGTCTCACTCCGTCTATGGCAGAGCCAGTCACAAATACTATCCCCACACCGGTTACCTGATCCAGGTTACCTCGTCCTGCTTAATGGTAGGGCAAGCCCTAAATTATATCCTCTGATTTGTAACATGATCTAGGTTCCCTCTTCCTGCTTAATGGTGGGCAGGGTTATCAAGTTTGATCTGAGATTGGGGAGTGGTGGGGGGAGAGGGGGCTGCACTGAACTGACCTCCTTGGAGGAAGAAGATGGTCACATTCCTGGCATTGCTTGCTTATGGAGAAACTATCTGTCAAAAAAAAAAACCTTTAAAAACCAGTGTTGCATAAACATTACTGCTTCATTACAGCTTGCCAAATTTATACATACCCTGTGAACTTTTTTTTTTTTTTTTAGCAAAATGGAGACCTGTTACTCATTTCATGACTTGGAGCAAGCAGGTCCCACATGACAGGAGACAAAGAGGTGGATTGCACTTTTGCAGCAGCTGACCTCATTTTGGAGATGTATTTATTTACAGTTTCCCCTAAGTGTGATTAGGGTGTTCCCCGTGATACCCTGAGTCTAAAGCAGTTGGCTGATTACATTCCCTTATTACCCCGCCCCGCTTTCTATTTGGGGCATGATTTCTCTTGGTATGTTCCACTGTGCGTTCCAGGAGATGTAACCTTAGAACACATTGCTGTGACTTCATGAAGGCATCTTCATGCTGAAGGCTCCTTTGAGTCATGAAAGGAAGATGGAAAACTGGCCCAAACAGTGAATAAAAGATGCACAGATAAGGTTCTTTTCCTGGGTTGGCTATACCTTAAGTCAACCAAAGAAGGAACAAAACAATAGGATGTGTCTGTGTGTGTCTGTTGAACTGTCTCCTGCAGTGTAGGCCATAGGACTCAATTTTCCCTCCCCCTTGCTGTGACTGTGCTTCAGTGACAGTCTACTGTGACTTGCTCGCATCCCAGATTTAAATGCAACAGTCTCTCTCTAGCCCCCTATCCAAACCAATTGTGAAATGTTCTTTCTGAACTTGTTTTTATCTTTGGGTTAAGCTCAACTAGAGAGCAGTCTCTTTTTTGCTAATTATTATCTAGCAGCAGAGTCTTCCAATTAAAGACACTGAAGGGCAGGAAAGGTCAGGTCAGGGTGTAGAGGGATGGCTGGTTGGATGGAAGGATGTGGTGGTCACACTTGGGTTACAAGACGTTTATTGGGCACATCCGAATTGCCCATAGGCACCATCCCATCAAGCAATTCCGAATTGGGCTCAGAAATCGTTGTGTCTTTATTCTGGTGTTTCTCCCCGAGATGAGCCTTTTCCCGGATGGCAGCTACGGATGGAGATGGTGGTGGGGTGTATGGACAGGTAGTGATATGAGTGAATTGGCCTTGTTCTTCACATTCTGTCTCACGGTGATAGAAGTAGCTGAAGTTGGAAACAATAACAGGCACTGGTAGGGAGATAGTGAGTACTCCAGCAATGGCACACAAAGAACCCACAATTTTGCCACCCATGGTCTCTGGGTACATGTCACCATAACCCACAGTCGTCATACTAACCACAGCCCACCAGAAGGCTGCAGGGATGCTGGTGAAGTTTGTGTCATCGTGGTCAGCTTCAGCAAAGTAGACGGCGCTTGAAAAGAGGATGACTCCAATGAAGAGGAAGAAGATAAGCAAGCCAAGCTCTCTCATGCTGGCTTTGAGTGTCTGGCCCAAGATCTGCAAGCCCTTGGAGTGCCTGGAAAGCTTGAAGATTCGGAAGACTCTCACCAGACGGATGACCCTGAGGATTGCCAAAGACATGGCAGGCTGGCTTACACCACGCTGCTGTGCAAACTCAGTGCCGAGGGCTACAAAATAAGGGATTATCGCCACAAAATCAATCATGTTCATGATGTTCTTGAAAAATGCTGGCTTGCTCGGACAGGCAATGAACCGTACTAGTAGCTCAAAGGAGAACCAGCAGATGCATATGGTCTCTACAATGAAGAAGGGATCTCCATGAGACTTTGTTGGTACAGCATAAGGCACACTGTTGTTTAAACGGTGATGAACAGGCTGTGGAAAGTGGGGAAAGAAAGGAGAGGGAAAGGGAGAGAGAGAGAGAGAGAAAATACTAAGGTAAGAAGTTGAAACTTAAAAGTGTGCCAGAATTAGCCATTAGAAACAGTTGACAGAAATAAAACACTATTCCCTAAGATACTAGAACATACTTATTTCATCTAAGTTTCTACCCCCCCCTCATTCTAAGTACAATTGCACTTTCCATATGTTAAGTTACATATATAAATGCAAATGTATAAATTAAACCCACAAATGTGGAGGAATGACTCTATATTGACTAGGGCAGATGTGAGTTCCATTCTGTTGCCTGGAGGATTACACTCCTGAAATAACAGGTACCTCCAAATTAAGTCTCATCTTTTGATAATTCTTCAGAAACTATCCTCTGAAAAAATATAGAATTGCTATACTGATAATTGGAAATGGTTGCTTTACAGCAGGCCCACACATGTGGTCAATGCCGGATTTACCATTGTGCTTAGGTGTGCTTAAGCACATGACCCTGACCCTGATGGTCAGGAAGGGGGCATCTATCTGCCCTCCCCCCATTTTTTTACAATGGATTTTGCTTATGTGGTGCAATTCTAAATTGAAGGCATTCTGTTTCAGAGCAATTCCAGACATAATGATAAAGTTGATAGTCTATGGGAATGTGCCACAAAGCAGGTAGTGTAGGTTTACTGGGCCTATCTCCTTCAGGCCCAAGTAAGGGGCCTCATAACTATCACAGGGTCTCGTCCTAAATTCAGCTCTGTGTGTGGCCCATGGACCACATGGAGCCCAGACAAGCTGTTGGTGCAGCCTGCTGAGCACTGCTTTCCTCCACCTGCCTGTCCTGGCCACCAACACCCGATGCCACTGCTTGCTTTTTGAAAGCTTTTGAATTTCTGAAATGTCAAGTCCATTCTATCCTGTTGGGAAATACTTCCCAAACAACTATTCTTTTTAATCTAATCTAATAAATTTGGGTTTGGGGCCCCTGTCTGAATCATTCAGTTTTTTTCTCTGAGACCATTATGTGGCTGCTGATTCATCAAGCCTGCCAAGAATCCCTACATCCCAATTTAATAAATTATTAAGCCAAAATGGCAGCTGCTAATTCCAGCTTAATTCACAACACAGAGAAACTAAAAGGCAGTGTAACTCCTGTTGTAAACAATGTGACTCAATGCAACCATAAAAGCTGTTTGAAATTGTGGACTAGGACATTGCAATATTGAACACATTAAGAAATTGGCCAGTGAAAAACTTGCAAGAGACCTCAATTTCAAAGCATGTTCTAATAATGAGAAATGTATGAAGTTCTTAAAGGGATAGGGAACCAGGACTGTACATTTGTTGATCACTGCAAGTCAATCCACCAAACTATTTCATCATCTACATGATGATCTCTGTGGCCCATCCAACAAATTGGTATTCCTATTTCCTGACTATTATTATTGATGATTTTAGTAAATTCACTTATACTTACTTCCTTAAAAAGAATTAAAGTTGGGCATTCATAAGTTTCAAATAATATTTTAGCCATGCCATTAACAAATTGGCTACAAACCCAAGAAACCGCATACTGACAATGGTGGATTATTTTTTCATACAGGCAGTCCCCAAGAGAGAAACATCCAACTTGCAAATGACTCATAGTTAAGAACAGGATGAGAGAACAGGACATGAGAGAAATCTACCCTTGGAAGGGTAATGCACTCCTGAAATAGTTACCATAGGGAAAAAGGTGTCTCCAATGAAGCTTTCTCACCAGTCCTTTGTTTCCACAACAAGCAATTTTTTCCTTATTCCTTGTACTGAGTTTTATGAATGTTTTAAAAAGTATGACACAGAGCATCAAGCCACACAGGCTTAAAGCCTAGTGCATAATGGTGTAGTAGAGAAGAACATAAAATTCAGAAAGAGATGACAGTGACTGTGCTCTTAGAAGTCAATATGTCAAATCCTCCTGGTCTGAGGCTATATTAACTGCAACATATGTAAATAATGAACAGCCAACTAAACCCAGAGATACAGCTCCTTACTAGTTACGATGTGGATTCATACTAATCTAAGTCATCTCAATCTTTTTAGAAGTACAGTCAAGCATATACAGATAGAATATCCCTTATCCAGAATTCCAAAACTCCAAAATCCAAAGTTGTTCCAATGTTCCAAAATCCAAAGTTGTCTGGCTGTGTGGCTGAGATAAGGAACCTTTACTTTCTGATGGTTCATTCTACACAAACTTTTGTTTCACATACAAAATTATTTAAGGTATTGTGTGTAAAATTAACCCCAGGCTATGTATATAAAGTGTATGTGAAACATAAATACCAATAAATTCCATGTTTAGATTTGAATTCCTTCTCCAAAGTATATCTATGTATATGCACGTATTTCAACCCCCCCCCCCCCCAATCTGAAATATGGAACACTTCTGGTCTCAAGTGTTCTAGATAAGGAATACTCAACCTGCAACTATATCCCCAAGCAGAAGAGAGGCAAACTTGACTTCAGAGATAAAGGAATCTTTATCAACTATACTGGAAATACTTACAAAAGCCAAGATCTTAATGAGCATGCAATACAATTATCAAGTGTTGTCTACGAAGATTTGTTTGCAGAGGAAGGAAAGGGCTACCAGCACCAGAGCACGGAGAAGTCTTTCATTGTTCTACTAGCACTCCTTGTACTTCCAGAACACCTGAGTCATAAAAGGCTACTAATGCAGAGGTGAGCCAGAGGTGGCGCCTAGTATCTAAGTGTAGGTGAGAAGATTGTGTTATTTGGCTACAGAAGAAAGGCTTCCACAACCCTTTAATTGGCAAAATATCAAGAGATTACCAGAATCAGGTACTGAGAAGTGGATGCAAGCTGCTAGTGAAGAGACAGAGGTCTTTAGATAAAAAAGAAACATGATATTTATCATAATCACCCAAATGTAAATGTGGCAAATGGCTTTAGAAGAGTCTTTAAAACAAAGCAGGATGCAGAACAGAAGAGTTAGGGATATAAAGCAAGACTTGTAGCAAAGCTCTATATTAAAAAATACAGCGAAGATGTGTTGTCAAAGACTTTCATGGCCAGAATCACTGGGTTGCTGTGAATTTTCCAGGCTGTATTGCCATTTCCAGAAATATCTCTCATTTGACGTTTTGCCCACATCTATGGCAGGCATCCTCAGAGATTGTGAGGTAGTGAAGACTACAAGGAAACCCTTGCGCTAGTTATCATGCACATAACTATGAGAAGTCACCAAATAAAAGCATAAAATAAAAGCATTGCTTCTTCAAAGATAGTGGAACAAACAATTATCTGCATGTATGTGTTAAATGTTAAAGTTTCAAAGATGTTTTTAAACAGGCGATTAGTTACAGTTATAGATTGCCCCTTCATAGTTTGTGTTTTAGCTAGATTTTTTGAAGCAAATTTTAAGTTGTATCAAAATACTTAAAAACTTTAAAAGATGTATCAAAATGGCAGTTACTTTTTAGTTTCTTAAATACAACATCTGATTGCTACAAGTTAGTGGCCTGTGGTACAGTGCAAATTCTCCTTCCATCTATTCTGGCATGATTTTAAACCCACAACAGAGCATGAGGCACAAGCACCAGGCACAGTAGGAGTCAGCAATGTGATAGTCCCCCTCCACCATTTGGTAATACCACACATCTGTAATGATACAGGTAACTGGAAGTTGTAATTACATAGCAACATGGGTAATTTCATATTTTACTAAGTTATCATTGTAATGCAATGTAGCCAATACCATACCTTTGTTAAAAGAAACAGGGACTCAAAAGCACAGTAGGCCCTTGGTATCTACTAGAGTTTGGTTACAGGACCCTCAAAAATACCAAATCCATGGATGATCACATCCCATTATATGCAATGGCATGGTAAAATGATGTGCCATATATAAAATGGCAAAATCAAGGGGGTTTTTTGAACTTAAAAAATATTTCCAAGCCATAGATACAGAATTCGTGGATATGGAAGACTGAGATGTAACATGTTATCATTGTGACTGGTTACCACAAGAGATATGCATACCTAGTATGACCTGAGGAGGGCAAGAAGGGGAGGGAGGCATATTTGGATATATGATGTCAATTGAGGCTTTGGGAAAGGAGAAAGGATAATTTCAAGATCTTTACATACAGATTTATCTCAAGGGATTGGTTGGTGGAAGCTTGGCTGTGGGCGAAGAGGGAGAAGGAGGCGTAGCATGTTAGCCTAGATATTCTCAGGAGGACTCAAATCAACGCCCTCCCTAAGGCCTGGAGTAAAGCCGAATGTCAAGGTCAAATGTCCCTCCCAGCTCCGTCCTTTGGTCAGCTCTAATTTCCTGGCTTGCTAATTTTGACTCCTGTTCTTCATGTAAGCAGGGCTCATTTGCTTTGCAAGCAAGTGAGATGCATGTTGGGTTAGAGAGGGATTTCTGTCTCAAATCTATTCAGACAGAGCATAGTCCCCAAAATGGATCACTCTGTCTTATGTCCATGTGTAGCATATGGTAAGGATCTAAGATTGAAGTGGGGTTTTTTTTCTATTGGGAGAGAAGAGACAAAAATGGGCCTAGGCTTTGAAGAAACTTTATAATGTCACGCTAAAGCCATCTATGACTATGTAGGGGGAGAGTGATGCTTTAGTGTATACACACAGCTATTCAAATAACCTTGCTCAAACTGTATTTGCATTCACATCCCACATTTCACAGTAAAGTCAGGAAGAACATGGCAAAGCTTGGTTAGATCCCAAGCAAACTAACCCAAGGCACTCTCAATATTTCTAGACTGTAGCTCCCATAATAGATAACAGAATCATAGGGTTGGAAGGGACAACAAGGGCAATTTAATCTAACCCATTGACTATGCTAACTGGAACTGATGTAAATTGAAGACCAACAATATCTGAAATATTACAAGTTTCCTAGTGATGAAGGTTATAGCAGTTGTGCCCTTCATTTCCTCTCCTCAGACTGAGTGAGAATTTGAACCCAGGTCTCA